AATTACATTTTTCAAAGTAATTGTAAGTAATTTGTATTTGAGCTTGCCTTCAATTACAAGTAATTGAATGTATTTAAATACATATCAAAAAAAGGTCATGTATTTTCAATTACTTTTCAATTACATTTTCAATTACTTTTTTCAAAATGAAAGTTTATAAAAAATGTGTTCTTATACTTATACTGGTGGGTTTATACTAAGTACCTATTCCCACTTTTTAAAAATCTCAATTCTACCTATTCCCAATTGCAAATAACAATGATTGTTTAGATAGTTAATTTGTTTTTACAGTAATTAGACTAAGTGCACCCCCTTTTAGATTTCCCTTTATTCTATTCATTTTAAGATAGAAAATTATGAATGGTTTTGTGAGAAATATTTATTTCCTTAAAAAATTTGGATTTGAGAAAGTAACAAAAAAGATCTTGCCATACACTATACTGCTGTAGCATGGGCTTGTGTTTGTACAATAATTAAATGCCTCATAATGTTAATTGTTTAAATTGTTTAAACAGTGTGTCACACTGCCCAAGGTATTTGGTAAAGGTCTAATTTTGTACAGGTGTGAGCCCTTCTCATATTCAAAGACAAAAAACGAATAAAAGTTCATTATAGAAAAGTTTTAAAAAAATCTTTTTAAAAAGTAATTGAAATGTATTTAATTACATTTGTGAAAGTAATAAAAAGTAATTAATTACATTTGAAAAAATCAATGTAATTGTAATTGCAAGTAATTGTCAAAATTATCAATGTATTTGAAAGCAATTAATTACATTTCAAAGTGATTGACCCCAAGCCTGCCCAGGGGGCATGAAATTATTCTGCTAGATGCACCTTTCATCATTATAATTATACATATACATGTTCTTGGATCATTGGCATAATACCCTTAAAGAATTAATGTATTTTCTCTATATAATCAAAAGAACTCCCTTTACACCAAATGGCAAAACCCGACACAGGGGCCATGAAATTCACAAATTTGGTTGAGGCACTCTTGCTCATTATAACTATTATACAAGTTAGTATATTTAATACCCAGGAGCAGAGAAGACGATTTTCAAAGAATAAATGCATTTTCACTATTTAATCAATAGAGCCCCGTGTCATATAATATATTAAACCCCGCGATATTTTGAACCCGGGTTCAAAATATCGCTGCGATATATTGAACCCCCCCTATAAAATATTGAACCCGGGGTTCAAAATATTATGGCCATAAAATATTGAGTCCGCTGTCCTTCTTATTTTACAGGGAGGGGGGTTCAAAATATTATGGCCATAAAATATTGAGTCCCCCTGCCCTATTAATTCATAAGGGAGGGGGTTCAAAATATTATGGCCATAAAATATTGAGTCCCCCTGTCCTAACAATTTATCAAGGAGGGGGTTCAAAATATTATGGCCATAAGATATCGAGTACCCCTGCCCTAACAAACTTATCAAGGAGGAGGTTCAAAATATTATGGCAATAATACATTGAACCCCCATGTCCTTTAAAGATAACAGGGAGGGGGTTCAAAATATTATGGCCATAAAATATCGAGTCCCCCTGCCCTAATAATTTGTCAAGGAGGGGTTCAGAATATTATGGCCATAAAATATTGAATCCCCCTGCCCTTTTAATTGATAAAGGAGGGGGTTCAAAATATTATGGCCATAAAATATTGAATCCCCCCTGCCCTTTTAGTTTATAAGGGAGGGGTTCAAAATATTATGGCCATAATATATTGAGTCCCCTTGTTCTTTTTTAGTTAAGAGGGAGGGGGTTCAAAATATTATGGCCATAAAATATTGAATCCCCCCTGCCCTTTTAATTTATAAGGGGGTGGGGTTCAAAATATTATGGCCATAAAATATCAATTCCCCTGCCCGTTTGATTTAAGAGGTAGGGGGTTCAAAATATTATGGCGATAAAATATCGAGTCCCCCTGCCCTAACAATTTGTCAAGGAGGGGTTCAGAATATTATGGCCAAAAAATATTGAATCCCCCTGCCCTTTTAATTTATAAAGGAGGGGGTTCAAAATATTATGGCCATAAAATATTGAATCCCCCCTGCCCTTTTAGTTTATAAGGGAGGGGGTTCAAAATATTATGGCCATAATATATTGAGTCCCCTTGTCCTTTTTAGTTAAGAGGGAGGGGGTTCAAAATATTATGGCCATAAAATATTGAATCCCCCCTGCCCTTTTAATTTATAAGGGGGTGGGGTTCAAAATATTATGGCCATAATATATTGAACCCCCACGTTCTTTAAAGATAACAGGGAGGGGGTTCAAAATATCATGGCCATAAAATATCGAGTCCCCCTGCCCTATTAATTTATCAAGGAGGGGGTTAAGAATATCATGGCCATGAAATATTGAGTCCCCCCTGCCCTTTTAATATATAATGGAGGGGGTTCAAAATATTATGGCCATAAAATATCGAGTCCCCCTGCCCTAACAATTTGTTCAAGGAGGGGGTTCAGAATATTATGGCCATAATATATTGAGTCGTGCCAAACCATGGGGATCCATCACAGAGTTTCAGCCCCCTACCATCCACAAACCAATGGACTAACTGAGAGATTTAACCAAACTCTTTGCAGTGCACTCACAAAATATGTAAGCGAAAAGCAGGATGACTGGGACCAGTACCTACAACAGGTTGCATTTGCTGCGCGCACTTGTCAGCAGAAATCTACGAAAGAATCCCCCTTCTACTTAATCTATGGGAGAAAAGCAATCCTACCAATTCAGCTAGACATTCCAACAACAGTGCACAGTATGCAGAGACAGCAAACAGATGAAGAGTTTGATGAAATCTACAGTGACAGGATAACCTCATTTGTTGAACTTTTAAAGGCCCATGATGCAGCTAAAGACAACATCAGCAATGAACAGAAAAAACAGAAGACATACTACGATAGAAAACATGGAACAGCTGATCTTCTTCAACCTGGCCAGAGAGTACTTCTCAGGAACTCAAAAAGGATCAACCGGAAAGGAGACAAAATGCTGAACAGGTGGACTGGTCCTTATACTATTTCTACATGCATTGGAAAAGGGGTGTACAAGCTGGTGGGAAGAAAGGAAATAGCCAACATCAAGAGTATGAAGTTATACAGAGAGAATTCTACTGTTACAACAGGAAAACAGACATCTCAGCCTGGAAGAAAATCTAAGCAGATTGCCACATCCAAGTCAAGAGTCAGTGGTCTCCAAAGATGCCGAAGGAGAAGAAGGGTACAGAAGCCAGTATGTAAGCCTACTTGTCCAACAGATGTGATAAGGAGAAGAAGCAGCCGAAGCAGTACTGTATCCCAACCAAAGACCAACATTACTGCACCTACTGAGGACCAAGGAGAGTGTACTTCAATTTCAACAAATAACAGAAGGAAGATAAAAGGAAGGTCCAATAAATCAAAGCTGAAAACTCTTCAAAAGGGACGTTCTTGCCATGTACATCCTAACAGAAGACTAAGGACATCTGAGGTTTCCAGCTCACCCAAATTTCCTCCGTCATCTAGAACAACCCTGCAGAAAAGGAAAAGACCTCCCACAGAAGAAAACCCATCCAGGCGTGTGAAGGGAATGGAGGCAACAAAGCAACGAGCATCACAGAATGTGTACCTATGAGGACCTATTCTTCAGAAGACATCATCTCAATCGTCAGACATTGTGCCAAGTACAGCCTTGCTGATGCTGCATCTAGATCACCACCTGTCTCTTTGTATCTTGCGTGCCAGAGAGAGGGAGAAGATGACTTACACCAGTGTGTGAACGATCTCATGGAAGTAGTTTCTGGAGCACACAGTCTGGACCCAGCTCTTCAAGAGTCCACTGAGACGGCCCCTGGTATTATGCTTGCAGCTGCCATATTTATCCAGTCGTACAAAATACTAATACCAGCACAGAAATTCCTTCCAACCCTTGACAGTATTCCACTTGGCAATTCCACCTCATCTTGCAAGAGACCAAAGGGACAGATCAGTCGTCTTAGAGTTGGTGCGATTGTACTCAACCAAGCTGATATCAGTACCCTGGACTCCATAATTTGGCTGAATGACAAGGTATTATAACAATTAAGTAATTTTTTTAACTTACAGCGTATGTAAAATTGCGATGTTACTCAAAAATAAAAACAGACTTTGAGAAAATGGCATCAAGTAAATTACTTATAATTGTACTTTAATGCCTAGGTCACATTTCCCGGCCGGTAGCCGTAGACCGGTGGTAATCGGTAGTAATCCGTGGTGTTAACGATGCCCCAACATCGGTCCACATCGGCCAAGTAGTCCTTAAAGTATCAGTCACATTATCCAGCGATGGGTACACGATGGACAACCAATGCGTTTTATGAGAAAAATGGCGTGGTTGCCGGCCGGACTTACAAAGGCCCAGCGATGCATTGCTAATCATAAAACGATGTTCCAGGATAATCGGCCGATGTATATTACATCGCTCATACATTGGTGAACATTGTTCGTACATCGGTCGACAACGGGCCAATGTTTGGTCGAACATCGACCGATGATCGGTCGTTATCTGTTGAACACCACTAAACTCCCCGATGACCTCAGATTCAACGGATATTGGACGATGCTCGGCCATACATCGGCCGATCCTTGAAAGATGTGTTAATGATGGGTTGCCGATGAGGAGCGATGTGAGGCATCGTTGGAGACATCGCTGAATTTTAACTACGAATTATTCCCTACCGATGACCCCACCGATTCGCAAAAAAGACTCAGTCACCGTCCGATCACTAGTGATGCCCGGCCGGCAACCACGCCATTTTCATCAAAAAACGCATCGGTTTCTCATCGTAAACCCCATCGTTGGATAATGTAACTTATACTTAATCAAGTAAACCCAAATTTTTAAAAACATGATGAAAGTGAAAACAATTTGAAATTCTAAAATAACTTTTTCTACTTAATTGCAAAATTTAATGTAAAGTAGATGTATAGTAGATAGATAGAGAGCACAAAATAGTCAATATATTTATATTATTTTAATTCATTGCTGATCATACATTCATATCTTGGATTGTTGAGCTGGCAGTGTAATTCAAAAGAACCCCAGTCAGCATACGTGCTACCCTGTTTTGTGGCTACAAAATGGGAAAATGGAGACTATTCATCCTGGTTGTTTCAGAAGGTAAATTGTCAATTTAAACAATACTATTTTTAAAAATCACGACTACAAAGATTTACAATATAAATCTTGTTTATAAGGATTTAGACGTAATTAGGTATCAAACAAATCAGCATTAATTTCTAGACACTTATTGGTCATCACAACGTTTCTAATTGTGTTTTATGTTAAATATCTTTACTAAATTGACCTTATAATATTTATCAATTTTTCACCTGTTTTCTGTATGAAAACTCAAATGTGCTGATTTCTCAATACATGTATTTCAAACATTTTTTTGATAAGTGGTGGTCACTTTTTCACAAGAATATAAGACAGACTGCATGACCGATACATCTTTTTATACATTAATTCTTACATTTGGAGATAAATATTGATATTTCTTCATATTTATGCTAGTTCAGCCCTACTGTGCATCTTAAACTCTTGCAACTACTTTGTAAATATTTTCTGAAGAAGCCTTAGTTGATTAACCTTTTTTTTCATTTCAAATAGGTTCCACTTCACTCATATGACACCATTTTGCTGCCTGTGTGCCATCGTGACCACTGGTTTCTAATGGTTGGCTACCCAAAATTGGAAACTCTGCTCATTTTGGATTCTCTGCCCAACAGACAAAGAGAAAAACATTTTGCCAGACACTGGAGGTAAATATTTTTTAGATATTTTGCAAATTCTTTCTCCTTCAATGAATGAAAAATTACAGGTTACCAAGAGTTAGATTCACGTACTCCATAAAATGGCCCTGTCAATATACTAATTAAATGACCAAGTCCTTAAGTCCTATTTCGATCATCAACATAAAGTAGAGACTTAGTGCTTTCATTTCCTATAAAAAACTTTCCTCTGAGAGTCCAAGTTTGGAAACTCAAGCGTTGTGAAACTGCAATATTCTTGATTTTTGAAGAAAATGGGTGAAATTGAGAATCTTCAACTTTTGATAAAAATATGAACCCACCCTGCGATCAAAAATTTCTTTCATGGATTAGAATCTTCTGAAACAGTTCTTTCATTTTATAATTCAATATTTTAGATCAGAGGTTTGGGGCTATACAAAATATTAAAAATCAGCTTCAAGTTAGGGGCATTTTTAATGAAATTTACAAGATTTGAGGAAAATGACGAAATTCATGACATCACAATACATAGACAAGAGAAAAAATTACATCATTTTTATTTGATATGAAGTCACCAAGGGTCCAAGTGAAATATAACATATTTTTAACAAAAACTGAGAAATTCACAGGGCCAAAAATGAACCAATGTGAACTTTCTTTAAATTATTCATGTATTCCATCTGACTATGATATTTTAAAATTTTAAAAGATTTCTCCTTTTTTTAAGATGCTTTATGGAAACCCGATTTCAAGCAGAGCCATCAACTCCCTTATCATGGACCCTTAGCCCCTTTAAGTCCTCGGTTCAGAAAGATGGACATTCCTGTGGAGTTTTTGTGCTAATGGTAAGAAATCAAGAGATTTATCAATTATCTTTCTACTGCAGTAACAAACAAAAATAAACTGTAAATTATAGTGTCAAAAGAATGTAATGTAATGACAATAAGCAAATATTTTTTTTGTTTTAAATTAGTTTCTTATGCAAATAGTAGAGACCTACATTACTCAACAAGGTATCTGATACATTTTGTAATAATTTGTAGAATTCAGCAGCCATCTTATCGCACATCTCCCCCCAAGTCATGCGGCTATGTCACATCAAGGCCTACAGAGCTTATGTGCGTGCGGAGCTGATCACTAATGGGAAACCAGACAAAAGGAGCCTTGCATGCGACCTTCCCTTCTGCGCAGCTAGCTACAAGAAACAGATTCAGTGTAGTTCCTGCTTGAGATGGTGCCACCATGCCTGCCTTGGCATCAAGGAGAAAGACAGTGTGGAAACGTGTATCTATTGTGCCTGAGAAAGAGTCCTGCAATGATTGTGCTTAGAACACTGTATCTTGTGCTTATGCAGAATGACTTTTGAGAGAAGATTATTTTTTTTTAATGTTTGTATTTCTGTTATAAGTGTTTCTATTTATTTTCTTGAATATTACCACGTTTTTGTTATCTTGTATGACTTATCTAAATGAGATGCTATAAATTAATTTATTATAAACAGACTTTGTCTTTTCTTATTCATGTTATGCTTAAGAAAGGTAAAATTGAAAGAAACAAAAAGCTGATCAGTTATCAACCACAACATACTATAAAAGCACAAATACTCGTGATTAAATTTCTTTTATTTCGTTGTTTACAATTATCAACAAAATTAAATCCCACACAAAATTTTATATGACTATAAATTGAATAGGCTAACTCTCTAAACAACGCAATTAAATGCTCACGAAACTATTTTTGATAACAAATCAACGAAATTTTATCCCCACGAAAATTTGTGCTTCAACAGTATATCCACTATTTATCCGACTAAGGAAATATTGTGAGATTCATTAGTTCATCCCATAAAGTATAACTGGAATATTTGGTGTTTTATGAAGGGAGAGAGCAACTGGGAAATAAAAACCTATGGAATTCTAATGCCCTGTTCACACAGAAAGAAATTAGAATCAAAAATAAAGTTACTACGAATTAGCTTTGCTTAGTGTTCACACAAAGAATTTAATGCGATTTAGTTTAATTCAAATTAGTTTACTGCACATTAAATAACTTCGCATTAGCCCCCCGCCCTCTTAACTAAAAAGGACATGGGGGCTCAATATTTTCTGGCCATAATATTTTGAATCACCCTCCCTCTTAACTTAAAAGGACAGGGGGACTCAATATATTATGGCCATAATATTTTGAACCCCCTCCCTCTTAAATTTTAAGGGCAGGGAGACTCAATATTTAATGGCCATAATATTTTGAACCCCCCTGCCTCTTAACTTAATAGGACATGGGGGTTCAATAGTTTATGGCCATAATATTTCGAACCCCCTCCCTCTTAACTTAATAGGGCAGGATGATTCGATATTTTATGGCCATAATATTTGAACTCCCTCCCTGATAAATTAATAGGGCAGGATGATTTGATATTTTATGGCCATAATATTTTGAACTCCCTCCTTGATAAAATAATAGGGCTTGGAGACTCAATATATTATGGCCATAATATTTTGAACCCCCTCCCTTGTACATTAAATGGGCAGAGAGACTCGATATTTTATGGCCACAATATTTTGAACCCCCTCCTTGTTATCTTTAAAGAACATGGGGGTTTAATATATTATGGCCATAATATTCTGAACCCCCTCCTTGACAAATTGTTAGGGCAGGGGGACTTAATATTCTATGGCCATAATATTTTGAACCCCCTCCCTGTTATCTTTAAAGATCATGGGGGTTCAATATATTATGGCCATAATATTCTGAACCCCCTCCTTGACAAATTGTTAGGGCAGGGGGACTCAATATTTTATGGCCATAATATTTTGAACCCCCTCCCCTTTACATTAAATAGGCAGGGGGACTCGATATTCCATGGCCATAATCGTTTGAACCCCCTCTATGTTATCTTTAAAGAACATGGGGGTTCAATATATAATGGCCATAATATTTTGAACCCCCTCCCTCTTACATTAAATGGGCAGGGGGACTTGATATTTTATGGCCATAATATTTTGAACCCCCTCCTTGTTATCTTTAAAGAATATGGGGGTTCAATATATTATGGCCATAAAATTCTAAACCCCCTCCTTGACAAATTGTTAGGGCAGGGGGACTCAATATTTTATGGCCATAATATTTTGAACCCCCTCCGTTATCTTTAAAGAACATGGGGGTTCAATATATTATGGCCATAATATTTTGAACCCCCTCCCTCTTTCATTAAAAGGGCAGGGGGACTCGATATTTTATGGCCATAATATTTTGAATTCCCTCCCTGTTATCTTTAAAGAACATGGGGGTTCAATATATTATGGCCATAATATTTTGAACCCCCTCCCTTTTACATTAAATGGGCAGGGGGATTCGATATTTAATGGTCATAATATTTTGAACCCCCTCCATGTTATCTTTAAAGAACATGGGGGTTCAATATTTTATGGCCATACTATTTTGAACCCCCTCCCTCTTACATTAAAAGGGCAGGGGGACTCCATATTTTATGGCCATAATATTTTGAACCCCCTCCCTTTTCAATTAAAATGGGCAGGGGGACTCAATATTTTATGGCCATAATATTTTGAACCCCCTCCCTCTTACATTAAATGGGCAGGGGGACTCAATATTTTATGGCCATAATATTTTGACCCTCCCCCTCTTACATTAAAAGGGCAGGGAGACCCGATATTTTATGGCCATAATATTTTGAACCCCCTCCCTGTAAAATTTAATGGGCAGGGGACTCAATATATTATGGCCATAATATTTTGAACCCCCTCCCTCATACATTAAATGGGCAGGGGGACTCAATATTTTATGACCATAATATTTTAAACCCCCTCTCTCTTTAATGAAAAAGGTAGGGTTCAATATATTATAAGGGGGTTCAATATATCGCACCGAAAAAGTGAACCCGGGTTCAAAATATTATGCGATATATTGAACCCGGGTTCAATATATCGCGGCATCAAAATATTATGCTACACCCGCCCTAACACCAGAACCCCTAACCCTTGGCCATGAAATTCATAATTTTGGAAGAGGTAATCTTGCTCATCATAATAATTATTATGTTCTTAGTTAGTTTTTTTTAATACCCAGAAGCAAAAAAGATTTTCAAAGAAATAATGTATTTTCACTATATAATCTATATAGCCCCGCCCTAGTACTAAAACCCCTGACCCTGGGGCAATGAATTTCACAATTTTTGTAGAGGACTCAATACTAATTATATTCATGCCAACAGTTTGACCGCTTGATGTCCAGGAGTAAACAAGAAGATTTTTAAAGATTTCATTAATCTAAGTGGTTTTGGCCCCACCCTTCAGGGCCCAGCAGGAGGGACAAAAATTCACGATTTTTGTTCCCATTAACCGTAAATGCTGTATACCAAATTTGGTGAAATTGGTTCAGAGCTGTCAAAGAATAAGCTGAAAATGATAAAGATTTTATTTTATTTTAAGAAATTTGGTATGAGCTCCCCTACTTTCCTACCATAAAAATTTACTATTGTAAATATTGAAAGTCCGCCCCTTTTGTTGCAGAATAGCCAAATGAGGGTACTGTTTGAGTAATACATGGAAATCTATATATCCCACGAAATAGAATTTTTGATTTTGGAGAATATTCGGGGTTCAATTTGTATGTTTCATTTTGTCTAATTGTTGTCAAAGTTTTTTTCAGGTAAGTTGAACTGCCCCCCCCCCCCGGTACTTTCATAAACGGTGCTAATTACCGGCCTGTGTGGGAAAATAAAGAGGTAAACTTTTTGAAATCTGATTTAGAACAAAGGTTAAGGTCATTAAAGTTTCTCAGGTAAGTATTGTGGTCCATGATCTTCGTTATTCTAATGCAGTTGAAATCATTTCTATTGTTTTGTATTGTATCTCTATCAAATATGCACTAATTGACTTGTATTTAAAGCTGTCCTCATGATCTTCGTTATTTAAATACAATTGATTTTTTTTTAATGATTGCATCTCTAACAAATCTGCTCTAATTGACATATCTAAAAACATGAAAATGTTCCTCTACTTCTTTCACATTACAATGTTCAACTCCAATGTGTATTTTCAGTAAATTGATTCTGTTCTGGAAAAGAAGATGTTTACCTACATTTTTCAATGTAAAATTCGATTCCTGACTGTGGCCACACTTAACCCTGGGGGTAATGATTTGAACAAGCCTGAATCTGAACAATCTAAACAAGATGTGTTTGTGAAACACTGATGCCTCCGTATGGCAACATAGTGAAGATTAAACTTTTCTTAGATGCAAACTCACTGGAAATACAATTCTGAAGTACAGAAATCTCCAAGGTCAAAAGAGCAAGGTAAGGCCTAAAAAAATATGTTTGTTTCCTGTAACCCGACCGACCAATTCAAATTACCCCCGGTGGATTTTTTTTCTGACAAATGGCAAACTTTCGTTTGATCAATCAGCTGATTCCATTTAGTAAAAAAAAGAAAATTAGATTGTAGTTTAACTTGAGACATAAAATACGTCAACCTAGTTTTCATTTACCTTAGTTATAAAGAGTAATCATTATTATAACAACAAGTTCGTTTTCTGCAGCTAGGCAGCCATTTTGGATGCCATGTTGGGTGTCCACTGTAAATATGACACCTGGTTTATTCAAACCGGGCATGTTTGACCATTCATAAGCAAAATAAATAAATAAATTCCCGACCTACCGACCCTTATTTTTTGGGAATGTTACAGGAAACAAACATACTTTTTTTTAGCCTAATTGGTATTTAATGAAAGGTCTTGCCACAATAAATACATATGTGAAGTATGGAAGCCCTAGCCCCAACCCTTCAAAAGATATGCTCAAGGTTAAAAAATTAAAGAGTAGGTCAAACTTAACGGTCAAAGGGTTAAAGATGTTGCTATCAAATGAAAGGTCTTCTCACAAGGATTAGATATGTAAAGTGTAAAAGCACTAGCCCTAACCCTTCAAAAGTTATGGTCAAAGATTGCTTTTTGAAAGTAGGTCAAACTCCAAAGTCAAAAGGTCAAAGTTCTTGGTATCAAATGAAGGGTCTTCCCACAAAGATTACATATTTGAAGAATAATATCACTAGCCCTTAGCGTTCAAAAGTTATGCCCAAGGTTAAATCTCCAAGGACAAGGTGAAATGTCATGGTAATTTGTATACAATAAAAGGTCTTCCCACAAAGAATACATAATTATGTAAAGTATGGTATCCCTAGTTTTAACCGTTCAGAACTTAAGGCCAAAGTTAGAAATTTTATAAAAGTAACTCCAAGGTCAGGGTCAAAGGTCTTGATATCAAATGAAAGGTATTCTCACAAGGATTAAATATGTAAAGCCCTAACCCTTAAAAAGTTATGGTCAATGTTTGCTTTTTAAAAGTAAGTCATACTCATAGGTCAAGGTCAAATGGTTAAAGTTTTTGGATTCCAATGAAGGATCTTCTCACAAGGATTACATATGTGAAGAATAAAATGTTAAGTTTTTTACAAGTGCGGAAATCTTCAAGGTCAAGATCAAAAGGTTAAAGTTGTTGGTTTCCAATAAAAGGTTTTTCCACAAAAATTACATATGTTAAGTATAAATGCCTTGGTATCTATTGTTCAAAAGATATGGTTAAATAAAAATTTAAAATTTTTTTGTATAAAAGTTGGTCAAACTACAAGGTCAATGTCAAAAGGTCAAATTCAGTAGTACCCAAAGAAAGGTCTTGTCACAAGGAATGCGCATGTGAAATATGAAAGTCATTGCTCAACTACGTCAAAAGTTATGGGCAAGGTTAAAGTTTTAGCGGACAAACAGACAGAGAGACAGACGGACGGACACGACAAAAGCTATATACATGTACTCCTGGAACTTCGTTTACGGGGGCATAAAAAATTACTAATAATGGATTTGTTGTTACTTAGAATTTTAAAGATATTTTAGTTTTATATTCCTATGTAAAAATTGATCCGACCTCATGTTCCCATCCTACCCTGGGAATTCTGTTTTGAATAATCTTGAATCTACACTACATATGGACATTTCCATATAAAAACACAAATTATGGCTTTGCCTTTTTTCATAAGATTTTTTTTAAAAACTTTTCCTATACTTATTGAAGTAAAACTTTGGTTGCCCATTACGGCCCCACTTTACCCCCGGGGTCATGATTTGAACGAAGTTGAATCAACACTACCTATGGATGCTTCGATATTAATGTCACCAATCATGGCTTTGCTATTGTTGAGAAAATGATTTTAAAAAGATTTTTCTTACATTGTATATATTGTATGCAAAACTTTGATTTCCCATTATGGCCACACCCTAGTTCCAGGGTCATGATATGAACAAACTTGAATTTAAACTACCTGAGGTTTCTTCCATATTACTACATGTATAACCAATCATGGCTTTGCTGTTTTTAAAGATTTTTAAAAGATTTCTTTCCTTATAAATTCCTATGTAAAACATCGATCGTCCATTGTGGCCCCATCCTACCCCCTGGGCTCCTTATTTGAACAAATTGAATCTACACCATCTGAGGAGGATTACACATGAGTTTCATTTATCCTGACCAGGATTTCTTGAGAAGAAGATTTTAAAAGATTTTCTTATTCATTCCTGTGTAAAAATTTGATCGATCATTGTGGCCCCACCCTACCCCCAGGGGTCATGATTTGAAGATACGTAAATCTACACTACCTGAGGATGATTCCACACGAGTTTCATCTTTTCTGGCCCAGTGGTTCTTGAGAAGTTGTTTAAAAGATGGCATTGATTTTTAACTAATTCATAATTATCTCCCATTTCGAAGAAGGTGTGTCTCTTCATTTGAACAAAATTAAATATTCTTCCCACAAATAAAGTTTGTTCAAAGAAAGAAATTTTGATTTTGAATATCTATGTAAAACGAACATTATTGATACAAAAGATTATCAAATTATGGAAAATTTTTCATTGTTTTACAACGAAATGCTGGTATTTTTTAATGAATGTAAAAGAAACAAAAGAGAACTGATTTTGAATGCTTTATTAAAGGAACCACTGTGGTGTTATAGTAAAATGAAGTATAAAAACAAACCGCTATTTTTTGTAAATAGACTGAAAAATGGATTTAAATATTCTGGTGATGTTGTAGTCAAATATGGAATGCAACCCATAGAATGGTTTTATGATAAACTTGTATGTAAGAGAAATTGGATTTGTGAATATATCATAATGAAAAATGTAGTTTTGAAAGCTTTTGTAAATTATGAATTTACAAATATACAGTATGAAAATATCATATATGAAAATAACTCGTATGATTGACTATACCATAATCAAGTAAAAGTGTATATCATTTCAAAATTAATCTATACTATTTTATGTCATAGTAAATTTAAACATAACATCAATATTATTATGAAAAAATGTTTGAAATTCCAAAAACAGCATGGAAATATATATATGAACATAAAATATTAGCAATTGCAGATAGAGGCATATCAGACTTTAATTATAGATTATTAAATAACTTATTGTGTAATAGAGAAATCTTGGAGAAATGGAAATGTTGAAAATGAAATGTGTGTTTTTTGTAGAGATGTAAAAGAAAACAATGAACATTTCATTCTAAAATGTCTAAATGTTTCTCATATATCGGATATTGTTCAGCAAGTTTTGAAATTTGATATATCATGGAAAAATATTGTTATTGGTTTTTATAATTTAAAAAAAAAATAAAAAGATATTACTTTTGAATAGCATAATATCCCTGATTGCTTGTAAAATGTACAAATACAAAATGTACTGTAGACTAGAAAATAAAGAAGAAAAGCCTTAAGAAATATGTTATAATATCAAGAGTATACTGAATATTTTTTCTGAAGTGTATAAGAAAATTCACCATACTCTACTATCTGACGTTCTACTAATCTTATCTGGGGGACAATAAATAGACTCCGTTTGAGCTGGAGGTGTGGTCTCCCAGATATATATGGGTACCTTTACAATTATACATAAGATTTTTAACTGAATTTTTGTTTTGTCTTTTCTTCATTTTGATATTTTGTGATATATTATTCTATATGACTTTTTAAATGACATATAGAAACAATGTAATTGTTTAATTCATCAAAGCAATGCATGTTTGTAATATGTATGTAAGGTTTTGTTTTTCTCAATAAAATAAAAAAAAAAAACAAACAAACAAAAACAATAGAAGAAGTAGCCAAAAAAATCTCAAGGATACTTTGTTGCAAGTTTGGTTGAAATTGGTCCATCGGTGCTTGAGAAGAAGATGAAAATGTGAAAAGTTTACAGCGACAATGGACATATTTTAATCAGAACAGCTTAAAGCATTGGAAAGATTTTTTTCCAAAGTCCACATTAAAAAGGCTTCCTTGAAAATGGATAATCATCACTTAATTATTTCCATTTCACAGTTTAATGGAACCTTAACTGAATTTGCAATAAATACCTATGGTGTCCGCATAAGGCCATTTCCAAAAGCTCAACAGCGCGTATAGAAAAATACGCGGTCGCGCTGCAACACGCTGTCACGAGTTCGCACAACACGCCATCGTGCTAGCACACAACGCGCTGTCACGCTAATACGAGTTTGCCGTCGCGAGTTGCGTGTTAGCGCGACGGTGTGTTGTGCGAACTCGTGTTAGCGTGACAACGCGTTGAGTGTTAGCACGACGGCGTGTTGTGCGAACTCCTGTTAGCTTGACAGCGTGTTGTGTGTAAGCGCAACGGCGTGTTTACTGAACTTTTGCAAATACCCCTATCCGGACACCATAAATACTAGTTACATGTTACATATACTTCTATACATATGCGCATGATAAGGATTAACATTACCTGGATATGATCTTGTCGATTCTGCGTCATAAACATCAATTGTAAATGGCTGATCCGTATCTCTTATATGATAAAGTTTTAACCCTGAAGTTATATCCACTCCAAATATCGATCTAGTTTCAGCACTTACAACATGCAGCACATTCTGAACAAAACATTAAATGTAAGATATTACATGTACAAAATGTGTAAAAATATCAATTGATCGATTTATCAACAGTGGTGTTTAAGGTTTCGTAAAACCGTTTTGTTTGGCTTTTTCAATATTATATATTATTTAATTTTTAGCAGCAAAACATAAATTCAATGAAAACAAGTGGCCCAAGAGGTCATTAAATTCACTATTTTGAAAGATGCACTATTGTTTATACTGTAATAACTATAAAAATAATATACACTATAAGCATGCTTACTCAGGTTATTTAAAACCCAGTAAGAATTTAGGAAATTTTATCATCAATTCTATATAATGATAAATGGTTGATTAATACCAAAGAGCAGATTTCAAAGCATTATTTTTTTCAAACAATGTAACAGCCTCCAGAATACCCTTAACCAGGTGCCCTAAAATTAACAATTTTGGAAGAGGCGGCTTTCTTCATCATAAATATGTACTTAGATCGTTGGCATAATACCCAAAAGCAGGGAAAAAAGAATTTCATGAAATTCGCAATTTTGAAAGAGGTATTCTTGCTCATCATAACTAATGGAATGAGAAGAATTTTGAAGAATTTATGCACATGCACTATATAATCAATTGAGCCCGACCCTAACACCACAACCTCTGACCCTGGGACCATGAAATTCACAATTTAGGAAGAGGCAGCCTTATTCAACATAACTTCATATATGTACTGAATTACTTTATTTAATGTTCAGGCGCAGAGAAGATTTTCAAAAAAATAATGCATTTTCATTATATAATCTATATAGCCCTGCTCTAGAACTATAACTCCTGATATTGGGACCATGAATTTCACAATTTTGGCAGAGGACTGAAATAATGCTGATTTCAATCAAGCCAACAGTGTCCAGCAGTAAACAAGATTTTACAGTTTGCATTAGCTTTTGTGGTTTTGGCCCCACCCCTCAGGCCCCAGAGGGGCATGCAAGGACCATGAAATTCACAATTTTCGTTTTCATTCAGCCATTGATGCTTTATGCCAAAATTGATTGAAAATGGTTGAGGGGTTGCAGAGAAGAAGCCGAAAATATTCAAATGTTAAACACAACGGGCGACGCACGATGACGGAAGAAAACAGATAACAAAAGGTCACATGAGTTTACTCAAATGACCAAGAAGGTAAGAAAAAACTTAAACAATACATGTACATTTCCTTTATTCATTTTTAATGTTTTGAAATAAATTCTTAGTAATTTGCTTGCTACATTTGAAAAAACTCTGGTTAATATTTTCTGTTGAAAAATTACATTTTTGTTTAGTTTTGAATTCGTTATCCCCATGGAAATGATATGATAATCATAATATTATAGACAAAAGTTAATCAATATTGTTTTGATGTATAAAACAAAACTGACGAGAAAATATAGTCTCATTTAACTTTTTTAAAAATCCAACGGCAAAAAAAGCATCAAAAACTTGCAAGTCTCTTAAACAAAGGTTTATTACATCTCATGATAATCAACAGTTACATGTACATCTTACCTAAATATGTTATGAAAGCATAATATTCTAATCCGACTTAACTCAATATGAGTTAAGTCCCGTTATGGAGACAAATAGAGATAAAAAGTTCAGGGGAGACAACTCTCACTCAAATGCACTGACTTCATTTAGTCACATCCATTACGCATGTGCATTTGCTCTTCCTTTCCATCTTCCGTCATCCATTGAAGCTCATTGATTTGACTATTAATCAATAAAGCCATGACAAAAACTGCCAATCGTTCTTAATCTATTTTGTCGACATAATTGAAATAAGAGAAATGTAAAAAAAAAAATAATGGGAAATATCAGACGCATTTAGTTTTTAATGCAAAGATCCCGACAGAGGAGTTGGTTCTTCCATATTTTCCAAGAATTAAAATACAGGTAACTCTTGATGGCTCGAACTTCAATCTCTCGAAGTTCTTGATCGCTCGAAGTGAGTCTCCGGTCCCGATTTTTTCCACTATATAACTAAGCAAATTTACTCTTGATTTCTCGAACTCTTGATCTCTCGAAACCCTTGATCCCTCGAAGTCAAAATGCAGTCCCGCTATGCATATTCTATTGAAATTTACCCTCGATACCTCGAAGTGACCATGTGTATATAAAGTTGTATAATTAGCAACTGTAACTGGACATTTAATGGCCCCAGGCAGAAAACGCGGGTCTTGTGAAACGGGATGTTTATTCAGGTGACACTAATACACTAATACTGCAAGGTGATTATTGATTTACGATAAATGTTATGATGTCTACATGCTATTAAAATAATTATCATTGACTGTATTATGATAATTTAGAAACGCAGTGTCACTGAGAAATTGTAATTGCAGAATAAGGCGAAACATTTCATTTTTATTTCGAATCAGTGTCAAAGTTTAACGAAATATGAAAATTCAGAAACAGCTCAATGTCAATATGAGGACTATTGTTGGACAAATACTTGTCGTTTTCATCACAGGCACTTGTTTCTGTAATAAATTTTTTACCCATAGTATAATAATAACACAAGGTATCTAACTCCGATTTACACCGAGTACCCCCCTCCCTAAGAATCGCGCTCATTTACACTTTCAGAGGAAATGCACGGGTAAACTGTTTATACCTATGTCTTCTTCGATAATTTATCTACACAACCATATCTGGCATGCTTGTCTTTATTTTCTTTTATCTCCGTAATCAGCGTCAAAACTCTGCTCGCCGAGTGGAAAGTAAAACTGTACCATAGAATTGGATGCAAAGAATTAGACCTCGAATTTGATTGGCTAAAAATCTGTTTCTAAAATTACTCCGGAAAAACATCGTAGCGTTTTATGGAAAATAAGACACTATGACATTTTATTAATTCAATGTAATATTTAAAATCTGGGATTGAATTTTTAAACCCACGCATTCTTTATTTTTTCTCTTTGCCCGAGATTAGAACATCCAATTCTATGGTACAGTTTTACTTTCCACTCGGCGAGCAGAGTTTTGACGCTGATTACGGAGATAAAAGAAAATAAAGACAAGCATGCCAGATATGGTTGTGTAGATAAATTATCGTAGAAGACATAGGTATAAACAGTTTACCCGTGCATTTCCTCTGAAAGTGTAAATGAGCGCGATTCTAAGGGAGGGGGGTACTCGGTGTAAATCGGAGTTAGATACCTTGTGTTATTATTATACTATGGGTCAAAAATTTATTACAGATAGAAACAAGTGCCTGTGGTTTTCATATAATGTTTTTGGTGTAAGGTGTATTGCCTAAATGTTCATTTGAAATATATGTAATATCTATTTAACTTAAAATATTTATAACTGTATCCGCCTTACTTCTAAATTATATATATATTTAATTACTTATTTATGGCTATAAATAAGAACATCTATGAATTATATTTTACATTGTATACTTGTTTAATAAACTAAGGAGCTGATAAGAACAGGTTTATAATCTCTAAACAAACAATATTTTAGGTTGTGTACTGGGATGATAAAGACTGGAAGAATGACTGGGAGTTTCAGTTAACAGAGAGAGATCAGAGTTGAAGATTATTTACTACATTTTGAGAAAAAGACTATAGAAGGTATGAAGTGAGAGTTATCTTTCATTATAGGAATTACCCCTTCAATAATGAGATTGAGTTACTGCCCTTTGGAGCCAACCTCCACTTCAGGTAGAGGTTATTTGAACTTATTTCAATAACAATGGGAAGGATAACCAATGAAATTCTTTCTATTTATAACTAAGTTCTGCACTTGAGGACCTATTGATGATCATTATATTACCAATGATTTCTATTTAATTTTTAGGTGGAATAGCTACTTTAGATCTCTATAATTCAACCCAATGCACTTCTGTCATTTCTCTTTTCTTTCTCTCTTTTCTTTACTTTCCTCTTTCCCCATTGCATTTAAGCACGATATGAGAGCTGTGTCTTACAGAAAAGGAAAAACCAAGGTAACACTTTTGCAGGTTTTTTCGCCTGTTAAATTTAAAACCTTATGTCAGAGTTAAAGATAATATCTGCAAATTGTCAGGGCCTTCATGATTTTAAAAAAGAAAAGATGTTTTACAATACTACAGACAATTGAAGTGTAATGTACTATGTTTACAAGATACTCATTTTACTACAGATATGGAGGAAGAAATTAGGAATGAATGGGGATATGATGTATATTTTAATTCCTTCTCGTCTAAGTCCAGAGGTGTAGCAATATTTTTAAATAATAATTTTGAATATAAAGTTCACAACAAAGTGAATGATAACTCTGGTAACTTTTTAGCACTTGATATTAGCCTTGGGGATGTACGTACAAGTCTTATTGCAATTTATGGTCCAAATGACGACGATCCTGGGTTTTATAATATGGTTTCAGAATCAATAGATAATTTGAACAATGATCATGTTATTCTCGTAGGGGACTTTAATTTAGTTATAAACCCAGATAAGGACTATCATAACTATCTTCATACTAATAATCCTAAAGCAAGAGAAAGGCTATTAGAAGTTATTTCTGGCCAAAATTTGTCAGATGTATTCAGAGAAATTCACCCAGAAAAACAAAGATATACATGGCGCAAGCCTCATCCATTTAAACAAGCAAGGTTAGATTTTTTTCTGATATCAAACTCATTGTTGAGTATGATAAAAGAGACTGATATTTTATCAAGCTACAAATCTGATCATTCTCCTGTATACCTCAATCTAAAACTGAGTAATTTTACTCATGGAAAGGGATTATGGAAATTTAATAACTCATTGTTGCATGATTCTGAATTTATAAAAAGCATTAACAAGACTATAATGCAGATAAAAGAAATTTATGCTTTACCAGTGTACAGTAAAGAATATATATTGTCTAATGCTGTAATACAATTTATAATTAATGATCAACTTTTCCTTGAAACTCTTCTAATGGAAATAAGAGGGAAAACAATATCTTATTCTAGTTTTATTAAAAAAAGGAATAATGAAAAAGAAAAAGAAATT